TTATTTATTTCAACTTGTCAACTTTAATTTACAACTAGACCATGAAAAAAGATATTTACAGTTAAGTAAATTTTAATTGAAATAACGTAAACAGAGAAATATTGTGTTTTCGCATCATTCTTTAAAAACTTGATAATTTTTTAACACTGACAATGTCGATTACAATTAAAGATTAGAAACATTAATGAACGTTGATGACAATGTAGAATATTTTACTATATATTTTTTTATAATTTTACTAACATAGCATAATATAGTTGCAAGATATGTTAAGACTATCTCGACCCTATCGAAATGTAAAAATATTATGTAGAGGCAGAAATATGAGGAATTAATTAAAGCAATTCAGGGACGACGCTTGCCATTGTCGGTATAGCCGCATTTCGCACTCGCAGTAATTGTAACATATCTTGGGTTCCAGTCATTATTTTTACATCAGCTTAGATGCAATGGATTTTTTATGGAATTGCAAATCATTTAGTTGGTTGATCAAACTTGTAACTTGAGTAAAAAAATGGTGACAGCGGTTTAAATAAATGAATTTTCCGCGTCGGCGTACTTTTTTATTTGCTACATTGCAATATCTTTCATTCTAACAAATATGTTTGCAATCGGATAAAAAAGCGGCGGATTCTTCATAGAATAAAAAATCATTTCGTTGGTCACCGGTTTCTGTAATTTTTTTAAAAACAAAGTTATAATGATTTAAACAAATGAAAAATCCGATATCACGGGACTTTGTTAATTAAACCGTCATATCTCGGCTTCTAATTAATATTTATTCAATTAACAAAATGCCACTTTTTTGTTATGAAATTTACCATTGTTTTTCATTTTCACGGAATGTGTAAATTAATTACAAAAATAGTTATAGCGGTTTAAACAATTAAATTGTTAATAAATAATTGAAAGTCGCTTTGTTCAACTAAATACTGTCGAAATTCGGATTCAGGAGGTTCATACGTCTAAAAAACTTGAGTGTTCAATGGCACATCGATCGGTCACGAGAAGGTCCATGGTCCCTAGACTAACTAGTGGCATCACGTATATGAGTATGATAGATTAAAGTGAAAAACATTTTAATATGAAAAACTTATATGAAATAACGTCATATAAGTTTAACTATATAACGAAATTAAGTATTTTTACACGAAGTAATACAGAATAAAATTTTTATATATTTATTCCGAAGCTTTGTGATATTTTATGTGGGCATACAACTTTATTTTAAATCTCACATAGGCTTGTCAAAGTATTTTGTGTGTGTGTATGCACAGCGTATTTTTTATACATTGACTTCTAACTTTACTGTTACTTTGTGTTCAACTTAGTATGTTACTAATTCGCATGTAAATTAATATGATAATTAGTAAACATTCTAAAGAAAATATAATTTGTACGCAAGTTCTGGAGAAACGAGTTCATAATGCTATAATTTTTTATTCTGCTCTCATTAATAGTATGAAAGACGTGATATATTGATATCGTATTACATTCAAAATTGTACGGTACTTTCTTGCAGAAAATAACCATTTAAAAGAGCTATAACTGTAAGAAAATATAAAAGGGTGTAAAAACTTTAATAATTATTAAGAGATACAAAAACACAAAACTCGCGACGAGCATTATAATTGACAGTTACCAAATAAAACAAATTATTTCGAAAAACTTTTGTTGTTGTTTTTAAGACTAGCGTAAAAGATCAAAATGAAGGTAGAGAGAAAAATAAGTTTTATCTTCATTTATTTGACAATCAAAGCATGTGAGTTGTGTTTATAAAAAATATGTGGCTTGGCAAGTAGTCATCGTCGTGAGTGTCTTAAAATATAAAAGCTCATTGGCTTCCTCTCGTGACATTCTAAATTAAATATTGCGGTCTTATACGCATGTTGGTGGAAGCGCTTCATATTAAACCTAGGCTGAAGCAATGATTAATCAGAATTCTATTATTCATTTAACAAACAAACATTGACGAGGAAGTAGAGTTATACATATGAACAATGTTCATTAGTCTTCATTAACTCAATGGCAAGAGACTTTAAGGTTTCTAATTTGGAATTAAAAAGAAATTTGTTTATTATTGAGTTTCTTATTGTTCTTTTTAATTTAAAGAGCTGCCGTGATTTACTAGATTTAATGTACAGAGCGCTTGTATCGCCGGGAATCGTACTCATGGTTTCCGTGGGGTCGTTTTGAGTTCGATTCCCGACGGGTATTAATTTTTTTTTTATATGTAGCTGCTTGCTGAACTGGGCAGAAATTGGCAGCCTTCATTTTACATAGGGTAGTTTACATAAGAGATATATAAAGAGAAAATAAAAGCAAAACGGAAGATTAAAAGAAAGGGGGCTTCCATACTACGATGGTAAGTGAGAGGTTTTTAAATAGTTTGAGTAGGGTGTAGACGGGGAAGAACAAGTAGAATAACTATTTATTCCTAAATTTTCGAAAATTTCCACAAAGTAGTTGTTCACGACATTATAGATATACATACTTTTTAGAATGTTGGTTGTAATATTAAGATAATAAGAAAAAATTAGGATTTCCATATTTTAAATTTTCAAAAGTGAAACGATATAGTATACAACAGACTTGCTTTATAAACGCAAGTTATCTAATAAATGTTGAAGTTTCTGTTTATATAAATTGCAATTAGTTGATATAAAATTGTATAATTTGCGTATTAATTTTACATTTGAATCTTCTAAGATTTTCCCAGGATTACAGTATTATTTATAAAATACTATTTTGTATGGAATAATAGTTAGGACATTATGTATTTTGTTCAATGGAGGATATTACGGTTTCTTTTAATCATATCAATATTGATTGCGAAAAAAAATTAGAATCACACCTATATGTTACTTAAGAACGTCAGCATACTCTGTGAGACATAAACTTCTATAACAGATTAAAATAGTATATAAAATGAAATCCCTCATACAAGGTTTTTTAAATTATTTTATTAAGAATTTGTTGTTTTATAATAATAATAGTTAAAAAAAAGTTTTTCTGTATTAAATAATAATCTAATCATTGGATTTTCTAAAGGAGCAGAAGAACTTTCGTATATGTTTTGTATTTGAGTAAATTGCGGTGGAAGACGTAGCTAGCGGTGTCTGACATTTGAAATAGATGTGCATCTTTAAATAATCGTGACCTAAAGGTTTATATTTCTCTATGCGAGGATTCTCATTGCTGTTTTGGTGCTACATCTGTAAACTTTATATTAATTGACGTAACTTCAACGGACTGGTTTACCCTACATCTATACTTCTATTTCCGTTATTTAGCTTTTGTATTAAATTTATTTTATATTAAAATAAGTATTTTAAATTGTAAATTATGGAAATTGTAAATAAAAAGTTAAAAAATGCATGCATTTTGAAAATTACAAGTAATGCATATAATAATATTGTATTATATATATATATATATATATATATATATATATATTGTATAGTATATGTATTATATATATAATATATTATATATATATAATACAAGTAATATAGTCTTAATTAAAGCAATATGGGCAATTTCAGACACCGTCGATAAATTTTCTAAATTAATATAAAAATTGTATTCTCATTCAATTTATCAGCAGTGTAAATAAAATCTGTAATACGATACAAGCGTGTTTGAGTTTTAATTGTTATTCATTATCTCTTTGAAAAAACATCACATCGGTTTATATGAGAAAGTATCTGTTTTATAGTTGTAGGTTTGAAAAATTTATTAAGTTAAAAAATAACAAGCTAAGAATAGCGTATTTATTGGAATACTAATATGAAACTATTTTTACTTAGGTGAAAATATTATTTATTTAGTATAGGTCATATTAGTGATTCGGGAAAATTCATAATAATCATTAAAATATGATTTGAGCATCTAACAAAAAAAAACTATCAGGAACCAGGGGCATAATTTTTTCCTTTCTAAAAAAATATTCTACAATAAAATTTTCATTTCGAAATGTTAGAATATTGTTTTCTAAAGGTTTTTAAATGAAGAATAATGATAGAGAAAAATTATTTAATTTAAATAAAATGTTGGAAAAACTTGCTCCTTTTGAAATTATGGAGTAGTGAATTATCGATCGAGGAAGAATATGATTAGCAAGCTTATCCGAAAGAAAATCACGGATAGGAAACGTATATTATAAGCTAATTCATATTTACTCTCCTATGATTTGATTATAATTATGTTGTTTAAGTAACTTAAAATATACGTATGTTATATAATTCAATTTTACATAATAAATTGGCAATTTACATGCCTCTGGTAAAAACATGCATTTTCTTAATTTTTATACACAGCTTAATAATTTTGTATATTACAGATTTTCCAAGAATAACAGTTCAAGTATTAAAAAATTTTGGGAGGATTTTATTTTAGCTATTGAGCACCTATTACGCACATTTTAAGATTTCATAAGATATTTATCCATGCTTGTTGTTAATAGCTTCAAAATTTTTTGTTTGACAATGAAATTTCATTGATTTTAACAACTTTTGTTTACTTAGACAAAGTTGAGGGTTGTATGGTTTTGTTGTACCTGCATAGTTAATATGTTAATATAAAATATTCTGATGTACAAACAATTAATTATAATTTATTTGTATGACAAGTGCCGATTTTTATTTCTTTCGCACCAGTCGTATTTCATCCATTTTCATGTTAGAAAATCGTAAATATCAAGATCCAAAAATAAAAACAAGAGGGGAAGGGACTATTTTTGGAAGTAAAGAGGAAAACGCTTGCATTTTTATGACTTGAAACAATAATTTTCATTGAGATAAAATTGTCGATATGTGAGTAACCACCGCTAATTACAGTAGTACATAGTAATTTATGAATAATCCATTAGAGATAGCAAAAAGAAAGATGCAACGTAAATAGTGATGTTTGTATGACGATTGTCAAATCTAATTTTAAATATTATACTAACATTTCTTTTGATTTTTATATATCATCGTTTAAAAAGTAAAAAATTATACCTTGAGTTGAATTTTCGTAAAAGCAGGTGCTTCGTCAGTATGTGTTGTGGAGTCTCTTCGCGAATTAAGAGTCCATGGTGCAGTGGGCATAGGTATGGGTTGAGGTCCTCCATCTTTAACCCAGGGAGGCCTGAATGTCGTACGTTGGGGTTGCTGACCCCCTGCTCCAGGCATTATCACCAGAATACTGTCTGATTTTTACGCTGCTGGTACTTTTGTAATGTTTTTATTCAACCCTAGGAGAAGGTCAATAACTCATGTAAATTCATTCAAATTACTTTTAATATAAATTATATGAGAAAACTTATGTTTAGTCAATTTTTAATCATCAGTAAAATGTTCATAATATTCCATATACTACTCCATAATCTATTAAATTAAATAATATAATGGTCCTTCTCTTATTTCATCAGAAATGCAAAGAAAATGTATATTTTAATGTACACACCTTTATATTCATAAATGCACTTTAGATTATTTTGGATATGATAATACGTGATTCAGTTGTAGCTAAAAATAGTCTTTCAGAACTTGAAATATAGGAGATCGTGGTTTATACGGAAAAGATTTTATTGTATTTCTTATCTCATAGTTAGACTTATATAATTAATGTTATGCAAGTCTGACTAATTGTGAGTTATACTATTAACTTAATGAGTTATACTCACATTATTAATGCTACGTTTATTGCACTTTTATATGAATAGAAATGATTATAGTTGTAGATAGGTATCAAGATGAATGTCGACCGGTTGGATAAAATTAATTTTATTAGATCGTGATCTATAAAAAAGTAAGCTGAAATCAGCAGCCGATTAATTTTTATAATAGCAATAAGTTGGAGGTAGCATCGAGTTCAGGTGCATTAATCGTATATATATAACAGTTCAAACATAGGAAGTGACTAGTCAACGAAAATAGCAACAGCAGATAGTATGCTTGTGCTGTTCGATGCAGAGTAAAAATACACGTACAATTATCCTTTCTCTGTTCTTCTCCTTTCTCTGATTCACATGATCATTAGTTCATACCTTGTGTGAAGACCTAGACGCCGTGCGATGTAATCTAGCCTATTGATCGGAGACACCGGCAACAGCCGATTAGTAATTTATATTTGTGGTAGCAGAAGTGCTTGTGTAACTGCGTGTCTGTTTGCGCGGTCTTTCAGCAACTAGGGAAACGACGAAGTTGGCTAGCAATTGGGTGCCCACGGTAGCTGCGACGGCGCTGGAAGGTGTAGTTATTTGGGGAGCCTCGTTGACGTCATGCCTCGTACACTACAAAAATAGCGAATTAAAATCCGTTCTCTCTCTCTCTCTCCCTCTCTCTTCCTCTCTCCTTCTCTCTCTCTCTCTGACTTTTTTATAAAAATACAAGCCCACTTTTACATTGCTGTTTCTTCATCATCCGACATTTATTTATTAAACGGTAAACATCCAAATAAAACGTGTATTTTACATTTTATCATCTAATAATTGACTTCTTTGCTGTTGATTGCTTCGGCATTCAGTCGTTTAAATTCACGTGTAATAGCATCCTTCATATAGTTCGCGTTAAATGTTTCAGAACTTCTAAAACAATAATTTTACGTAGCTAATTTGAAATCATTTGAAACTAAACTGTTAGTATTAACGCGTATTTTCATTACAGAATAATCGAAGTTTTATAAACTAGAGTGTTCGTCGCCATATATCAAGTGTTCGACGCTAATTATTTTTTTGATATATTCGTTGAGAACTTTTTTTTCCTTTTATCATCAATTATGTCAGTCGAATATTTTTTATAGATGATCGCGCCAGTGAGCTGTAAACACTAAAAGTTTTGAGTAAAAAGTTTTTCCATAAAGTTTGAGCTCTGTGTTGTAGCATAGTTATTTTAGATTCATCAAGTAAAATATTGGTGAGAGTACTTTTACCAAGTGCCATTCTTATGGCAGAGGATTGAATTTTTTCTAGCTTATCTTTTCTTGCTTTTTGCATAGGAGAGTAAATAAAGGAGCCATAATCAATTTTGGCCCTTATATAACTTTTATAAAAAGTGATAAGCGTGTAGGGATGAGCACCCCACTATACACCAGTCAGGAACTTAATGATATTAAGCACTCTGTGTGATTTTTCCTGTACATATTTTAAATGTTTAGCTCACCTTAAAAGTTTAGCTCGTAGGCGGAATTTAATCCGAGAAATTTGACATTATTTAACGAGTTTAATTTTTGTTTTGCTAATACAATTTCAGTATCCTCAGGGCGATATCCTTCTTTATTAAAATGGCTATAGCTTGTTTTTAGTGATGTAACGTCGTTGATAAGTCTTAGTCTATTAGAGACGATATTCAGAGTGTTTTTCATCAAAATCTTGGAATCTTCAAGTTCAGCTGTCTTAAGGGGGCTCCAGCGAGGTCGGGTATAGATAAGTTCCGAGGTTAGCAGTAGTGATTCTGATAGATAAGATCACGCTGAATCCAACGGTATCCTCCTTTATTACTCGAGCCGTGGGAATTTTTGAGATATTTCGCCTCAAAGTTGACACTTTTTACATAGGCTCTTATGGAGTGCAGTAGAAATGAGGTTAATAATCGATGATAACTAACCGTAATGCGATGGTTACGTGATAAAAAACATATGCAATTATAGATGAAGCTTTGAACTTTCGATTGACCGATTGCAAAACGGGGGTAGCCGTGGAAAATATCGAGATAATTTCGGAAAATTGCACACGAAATTGAATGAGCGTACGAGTATCCGGTCGGTAGGCGGACGCCATGTTGTTTACGTAGCGCATGTGAAGCGCGCGGTTTTTTTGAGTGATTCAAAATTCGAAGATCACAAAATTCTTTTGCTTGAATGTATTTGCTTGAATTTGGTTGAATATAAATAATATTTGCATCAATTTTTTTTTCACAATCTCGAAAAATATAATTTAAATAAAAAATTTGCTGTAATCATTTGAATCATCTCAAGGAAATAATTTTTGCAATTTTAGCAAAGCATTTGTTTGGTAAATAAAAACAATAAATAAATATTTATCAACTACTAATTTCTTTTATTTTATCACAGATTGCTTCAATGATTTTCATATCAGCAGTAACTCGTACTTTATTATCAATACTCATTGATAATAGTATTTTAATACCATCTCTTGGATTTTTTGAATATACATTCTTCAGTACATCTTCAGTTATACCTGCTTTTGCCAGGTTATAAATAACATTGGTCTTGACAACATCTTTTAATACTGTTAATTTCTCCTTATTTGCATTGATAATTTTTTTTTCTATCTTTTTGTGATTCAAAATAGCTTTAGCCTCTTCAATTTGGTCAAGACTTTTAGCCTAATTTATAATATTCTCATAAGATACATCAGACTAGGTTTTCATCTGAAAAGGATTCTTTTGCTTTCACTCTTCCAGATAATTTCGCTTTGAAAATGTTTAACGTATCTGAATATCCATAGACAGCTTTTTCAAATCTCTCATGCAGCTCAAATTGAATTAATAATTTTTTAATCCTCACAGCATCGAACCTGAAAGATATGAATACAATAAATTGAAATGAATACAATAAAATGTTCTGCAATGCATAACAATATTTCACGATAAATTACTTGATGACGTTATGGCCAACTAAAATAATATGAGTTTTGTGAGATTCTAAATATTCCAAAAATCCAGTTATTGCAAGCTCTCTTGATACAGTAGACAGTTTGTCATTATGGTGATACAAACTTCCTTTTTTTACTGTCAGAGCTGTTTTGAGTGATGCTATTGGTTTGATGGGTACAGTTGGGACAATATATGCATTGTATGAGGTTTGTCCGTCAAAAGCTGCAATCTGATTTATAGAAATTGAATTCACACTTGGAATGAAATACATAATGATAGGCGAAATTTTACTTGAATGAAATAAATATTATACCTGACATATCTGGTCGTTTTCAATACTCAATCCAGTGGTCTCAGTGTCGAAATAAATGATTTTATACTCAATTGACGCGTCGGGTTTATTATTGCTCAATACTGATTTAGGCAGAGGAAAATTGTTCGTTGACGTAGGAATGTCTAGGTCTAGCACGCCACTCAATCCAACGTTACTTTCATAAGTTATTCCTTCTTTTCTTTGGGCTTTACTAGACTTTGAGGATCTCAGTATTTTTAATGCTTTTTTGCGCATCTTCGCAGCGCGAGCACTTGAAAAAATTTTTTTCTTTATCTTCTTAGCTTCTTTTATTATTCTGAATCGTAGACCTGCTTTGATTGGACTGAATACTAATCTTTCAAATACTACATTTATCCAATTATGACCTGTATTCTTCTGGCAAACTGCCGCTGCTACACGAAAAGCAAATGATTCAGATCCGCTAAAATGTTTAGATTTTGGACACTTTGAAGCGACTGAATGATTAAATGACTCATTCGCTTGTGTTGAAGCGGCAGGTGCAAGTTTTTCAGCGCCATCAATGTAACGATTCATAAGTTCGTCCAAAGCCGTTCGTAGGTCATTATTTGCCAAAGCTTTTTTACCTGGTAATCGTTTATATTCGTAATTTTCATTTGCTTCGTGAAATGTACATAAACTATGATCCCCGAAAGCATGAGGTACTATTGCCTTCAGTTTGTTTTTGAGAACATCTGGCTGACCTTTGCATTCAGCAATAACTCCACTCAAAGTTTCTGTAAAATAATCGACAAGAGGCCCCCCCACCGACATTGCATGAAGAGCATTAGACAAAATCTTTACCGAATGATTTTTATCAGCCCACAATTCAATACGGTGCTTTGCTTTTTGACGTAATGCTGCAATAGTAGTAGAGTCGTTATCCATAATCAACCGAGCGCCAAATATGTTTAATTCTTCAAATAAGGGATTGTCAGTATACATCTCCAAAGCCATATCTGCTTCCATCCCTTTCGCCGAACCATCATAATTGAGTCTACAATCATGCGGTTTCCCAAAAACACACATACGACAAACTTTCACTCGTACAGCATAAGAGCCAATTTTTTGTGTATATAAACATATTAGTGCACCGTGCCCTGTATAAAAATCACAATTCCTCAACAAATTTCATGGATCCATGCATTTCTTCCGACTCACACATTTATTAAAAAAAAACATGATTTTATTGATACGTGAATTCAAAAAAAATAAATCAGTACTTGCTGAGCATATTTCATTATTACCTGACATACTATTGTGCTCTTCCAGTTCCTCGTTTTTGCCAACCTGCATCAAAACCAAAAGATAATCCACTTTTACCTTCTACATCCCTGCAAATAAAATAAAAGAAACGAAATGAATAGTAAATTACAAAGACAGGTTTTCATTCATGGAATTTTATTAATGCCAATAAACGGTTAATAACAATAAAAAATGTTTTATTCAATATCGTAGCGAACATTCTAAAAATTACATATCATTTTCACAATTCCATGATTATTTTATGTATTGACTATTCATGTAATGAGATGATCCAATGCAGTAAAAAGAAATAAGACAAAAATTTTTGATTGCACGAGTTTTGTAAATATTTTATAATAAAAAAATTGTATAAAGACTTAGAACTTGATGATTCAAGTGTATGCACAATTGTGAAGTTGATAATTTACAATTTATCATTAACAAATGTAAAAAATAGAAAAAAAATTGTATCTATACATTATAATTGTAAACTAAACTGAAGCTCATAAAAAAAATTATAAATAAATCAATAATCATCCTCATAGTAATGAAAACAATGTGTTAAAAATCATGATTTCTATATCAGTTATCAAGTTCATAAATAGAAATGATTATTTGAGATAAAACACTACTTGTCTAAAACTACATCATTGAGCTTTTGGGCCCTGGCTTTTTCGTCTCTCAAAGCTGCAAGATATGCTTCTCTCGCAAGGGCTTCAATTGCAGGACTAACTATCCTGTCATACCGCTTGAGTAAGGTATCCGATACTGTCTTTATATTGAGTGCTGATAATAACAAATTGAACTGAGTTTCTTCGATGCCACAATCTATGATACCTATTGATCATATATGATGTTAATAATAGTTAACAAATTTTCAGACAAATATTTATCAAAATAATTTTGAATAATTACCCAGCGCTGCCTTTGCATTCATTTCAAACATGAGGTTATTTCCTTTTCTGAAGAATTTTCCAGTTCTTATGGTTTTTACGTTAGAACATTTGCAACACTCAATG